AAAGTGTCTCAAAACGTTTCTTTGAATGTAACTACCTACAGCACTCAGCCATGTGGATGCAACCCTTGGGAAGCAGGGATGGCATCCTCTGCTGTTAGAAGGGGCCCTCGTCTACTTTTTAAAGGAATTGAGTTTGACGCTTTTTTTCTTTCAAGAAGCATTCCCAGAAGAAAGGGAGATGTTGATGCCCATATCTAACATAATAGTCTACTGGCAGCCAGAGCTCACAACCAAGACGCAGTGGCACTTTCAGCTTCTATCACACCCCGATGTGATTAAAAACCCCACTGCACGCACACCCAAACTAGAGGATGCAGACTATTTGGAGAGAAACTGAGAGAAACGGGAGGGCGGATTTGCCTACTGCTCTTGAAGCTGGATGTACAAGAAAGATCCTTACTCTTTAGCTTACTCTTCATTCCTTGGAGAAAAGAGAAACTAGATTCTGTCCCTTGTTCCCTGTGTTCCCTATCCAGTGATTATTTTTGGTTTTGATTAACAACTTTTCAGTGTAAAATATAGACACAGTCTTTGAATAAGGTTGCTAAAAGGAGTACCTATTTTCTGAACCTTTAAATGAACAGGTATAAAGCTGCTTCAAGCTCGATGCTTATGGGCATGTGCCAGGATAAGGTTTACCTTACCTAGCCTTAGTTTTCTAAGCATCTGTGCTCAGGCAGTCGTGTACATCACCCCTATCATCAGCAGTGAGAGATTAACACTTCCAAAAGGAGATTTGTTCCCTCTATCATGGACATCATGAGAGATGCAGTGACATATCCTTCGAAGGAGCTTTTCTGCCTCTGGAAGAGACTGACCATAAAGGGAACGTAAAGTTACTGCCTTAAGCTGGAACCGTAAGTTTTAGATAACTGAAATCAGCTGAATGAATCTCACCTTGTAACTCTAAATTCAAACTGGAACATAGCTATTGAGTTTTAGTGGCTGGGGCTGTAACACACAGTGTGTGACTCAAGCCTCTCAGTTTTACTTTTCATAGAATCATAGAATTTAGGTTGGAAAGGACCTTTAAGATCATCGAGTCCAACCGTTAACCTTGGCCAAGCACGGCCAAGCCCACCACTAAACCATGTCCCTGAGCACCACACGTACACGTCTTTTAAATGCCTCCAGGGGTGGTGACTCCACCACTTCCCTGGGCAGCCTATGCCAGTGCTTGACAACCCTTTCAGTGAAGAAATTGTTCCCAATATCCAAACTAAACCTCCCCGGTGTAACTTGAGGCTGTTTCCTCTTGTCCTATCGCTCGTTACCTGGGAGAAGAGACCGACCCCCACCTGGCTACCCCCTCCTTTCAGGTCATTGTAGAGAGCAATCAGGCCTCCCCTCAGCCTCCTCTTCTCCAGGCTAAACACCCCCAGCTCCCTCAGCCGCTCCCCATCAGACTTGTGCTCCAGACCCTTCACCACCTTCGTTGCCCTTCTCTGGACATGCTCCAGCACCTCAAGGTCCTTCTTGTAGTAAGGGGCCCAAAACTTAACATTTTTGTTGTGATTAGAGTTGAATTTGTCTTTAACTCTTGTCCAAGTAGCATCTGGAGCCCTGCTCCACAAGTTTCTTTTCACAACTGCAACATAGGTAATAAATAGCAATGATAATGCAGCCTCACAGCCTGGATCCACACTGCAGGGCTTGTAACATAACTTCTTGCATGTTGAACTGAATTTTATACTGATTGCTGGTTTACAGCCCATTATTTGTGCACACCTGTCCTGCAAATACCTGAGTACAGGGAAAGTCAGTATAACAGCTATTTTCCTTATTTTATCTCTACATCAGAAATATCTGTCCTCATATAATTATTCTAGTGGGAAATCTAAAATTAACCCAAATTGGGGATATTGATACCGCAGTCTTTGAGGATAACAAGGAGCATAAAACAACAGTCATTTAACAGCACTACTTCAATCTAAAAAGTGAGATGAAGATGCTGAGACTACGGGTGCATACAACTACAGAACAGTCTCAAACATATATGTGCACCCTAAAGACTGAAATACTTCCCAAAAGCCAATTAAAATTAGCTCCTTCATCAAACTGTGGTAATTAGAAGGTATTTGTCTAGTTAGTAAGTTTTACGACTGACTGTTTTTTCTCCATATTTCTCGGAAAAGTTCCTAGCTCAGTACCAGAATTCCATGAGCAGATTTTTTTATTATAATATTAAGTAAGTTTTTGTTTTATAAATTAGTTATCTCACTGTGTTGTGGAGGGTGGTCTAAATGTGCCTACATTGTGTAGTGAGAGACATAAAATTTGTGTTCTGTTTAAAAACATTTACTTTTATTTTTAAGTGATCCAGGCATTCTGACAATGCGACATGATACCAGCTGATGCAGTTCCCCTCCAGCGCAAGTACCTATATACCTGCAGAAGCTCAGTTACTTTTCCTCCTTCAGCTGAATGGGGCACATCTTCTTAGAGTACATCAGGAACTTAAGAATTTCTACCAGCTTCATAAAAATACTTATTCATATGATTACAGGAACAGAGATCTTACAGGGCATAACT